GAAAAAAAAAAAAAAAAAAAAAAAAAAAAAAAAAAAAAAGAGAAAAATTTTTTAAAAAAAGGACCCTTTTTTAATTTTTTTTTTTTTTTTTTTTTTTTTTTTTTTTTTTTTTCCGTGCCCAAAAAAGAAAAAAAAAAAAAAAAAAAAAAAAAAAAAAAAAAAAAAAAAAAAAAATTACAAAAGTGTCTCTTCATCTAGAAATTATGTCTCTTCTTATGTTGTCTCCCTTTTTTCCAGTGGCCCCATAAGGTAAAATTCACAGCACAAATTATTAATTATGAGGGCTGGTTCTCTTCAAATTCTACCTTGCCCACTGGCTACAAAAAGCAAGGGAGTTATGTCTCATGAATATATATCTGTATTTGTAACATTCCCTGATCAGATGATCTCTCCATCATTTAAGAAATTATAAGCATACAGTATTCTATATTTACCTTGTATATACCTCCAGATGCAGTAGCCACGGAATATAAAGCTACCTTTAAAAAAAATCCCCTTTTTTCTTTTCGCAAATTTATTCAAGACCCTAGCAGTAAATTCAGCATTTACAGGGTTAACAGCACAGCTGCTTAGGGAGGTCCTAGCTGGAACTGAACCCCTGTCCCTTCCCAGGGGCCTTTGCCAGGGTGTCTGGGAGGCTGAAGAAGGGGCTTTTAGTTTATCTAAAGCTTTGCTCCAGCCCTGGAAATTGGTTAACCTTTTTTACTCTCTCTTGGGGGAGAGATGAACACAAACTTTATATATCTTTGGCCCATGCAAGTCCACCTTTGGGACTGTTTGGACCCTTTTTCTTCCTACCTGGAGGAGAAAACAAAGGAAACCAAAGGAGTTACCATGTGTGTACTTTTTTCCCCCCCTCAGTTTAGCCAGAAAGGCCAAAAGCAGCTGGGGGATCCAACAAGCCCACTCTCCTGGAATTAGATCTAACTACCTTCAAATTCATTGGGAAATGTTACTTCTCTCAACTGACAGCAGCAGTTCAGCTTCTGTTTCATACTGTGGATGACCCAGTAGACACTCAGGCACCAAATATTTGTCCTTCCTCACCACTTTATCCGTTTACCAAACAGAGCTTTTGCCATGTTTCTCAGGGGGGTTAGCATTGTTCTAGAGAATCACCCTGCTGCCACCCCTGTGTCAGGGATCTCTAAGACCACTCCCAGGTTTGATGATTTGCCAGGAGGACTCACAATACTAGTCATACTCAGGTCAATGATTATTACAGTGAGTGGATAAAGAGCAAAGTCATCAAAAAGAAAAGGCACATGGCCAAAGTCCAGAGGAAACCAGGCACAGGCTTCCATAGTCTTCTCTCAGAGAAGTCACACAGGATGCACTTAAATGCTGACCCATGTAAAGTGCCATCCACCAGAGAAGCTGGTCAGAGACTCAACACTCAGGGTTTTCATTGGGGCTGATCACACAGCCAACCTCTGCCTGGCACTTACCAAGTTCCAGACCCCAGAGGAAAGCAGGTTTCAGCATAGACCACATTGTTTACACAGACATTTCAGGCATAATGAGCCACACTTATCTCTAGGGAATGGGGGAACCACTCCTGAAGCCCAGGTCCCCAGATGCCAGTGAGGGCAACACTGCGGCAGACCTGTCTGAGAAGGCGTCTTGGGCCCGCCCTGTTAGCTTTTTTCCCACAAAAATGTTTGTTAATTTCCCATTGTTAAACATTTACAAGTTTAACTTTGTTCTTCTATAAAAAATGTGATGAGTGTCTTTCTGCCTTAATCATTCTGCTCTTTTTAAGGGGGGGGAAGGGATAATTCCTAGATATAGAATAAATAGCTTTTCTGAGCATTTTTATGTCTTCTCTATCTTCTGAGCATATTTAGATATTTTATCCTTCCCTTTATTTGTCTTTGATCTAATAAATAAAAATTTGTACAGTACTAATTGATAAAAGTACACTACAGATTCCTTAAAATTACTGTCTTCATCAGTACTTAATTGATTTTTTGTGTTAAGAATAATTTTACGTATTTTTTTGTATTAAGAATAGCACATTGCAGCTACTTACTGGCTCAGCTATTGTTTTGGATGCTCTGACAGGTCCTAGTTGTGACAGTGTTGAGGAAGACATGAGCGCTTCTGCCCGAGGAGCTTCCACCACGGTTCTGGAAGAAACAAGGAAGGAAGCAGCACCCATGCAGTTGCCTGTGTCGGGGCCAGAGCTTGCTGCCATGATGAAAATTGGGACCAGGGTCACCAGAGGGGTGGATTGGAAATGGGGTGATCAGGTACTCATAGACTGATCTAAAAACACTAGCCACATAGTCACCTTCTGCTCATCCTGATTTATGGGGCATTTGTGTGTGGAGTAATTAACTACTTTAACTTGGGACATGCGTGATTGATAGTTGTTGATTTCTGAGCAGCTAAATAGATCAAAGCAAGTAGAGAGTAACAGTGGCCTGCTGTAGGGTACCTCGAGCAGAGTCCATCTGCAAAGAGTTGGCAGCTGTTTTCAGAAAACTCACTGGCATGTGGCTCAATTTGATGTGCAGCTGGAACAAGAGTGAGAATGAGCCAGAGAGAGTGAGTTGCATTCTAAGTGACAGCATGATGAGAGCGCAGAGACTGGAAATCCAGATGCTGCCTCTGTGACCATATGACTGTGTGCCCAGGAAGTGCCCCAGATTGAGCAGTTTCAAGCCTGCTGGTTGGGCATGGGGCCATCTCTCCATTTCCCCTCATAGCATATAGCTTCCAGTCTCTGTCAGACCCTCCAGGTAGAACCCTAGCCACCTTAGGGCAGTGTTCACCTTCTTTTGTTCTGTCTAGGTCTTCTCAGTCATGTTATTATGCATGGGCTTTATCATAGTCATCTTGGAAATGAAAGTGTCTAGGGACAGGTGACAGCATTCTGTCAACGGCTTTCTCCTATAGAAATGAGAGTGGGAGGAGAGAGGGAACTTGGAGGCGCTGGTGCTGGTTTCAGAGTTCCACTCTTGTGAGGACTGTGAGGGGTCAATGGGGTCAAGGGAAAGCCTGCTGGACCATATTGGGAAGCCCTGTCTCTGGTTTTGCTCAGAGAGTACCCTAATTGATGTGTACTTTTCCCACTTTGGTAAAGGAGAATGAGCATGCTATTTCATGACATCTCATTTAAAATGATGTGAGTTTTACATTTTGCAAGTAGGTTTGGGATCAGTCTGTTAACATGAAGTCTGTGTACAGTGTTGTAGTCCCCTTTACAGGGAGGGTGGCAAATCTCTGGTGGGGATGATGGAGGGGCCAGCTCAGGGCGTGCACCCTCTTAACAGATCTTTATTTTGGCTTTCTCAGGATGGGCCTCCTCCGGGCCTAGGCCGAGTGATCGGTGAGCTAGGAGAGGATGGGTGGATAAGAGTCCAGTGGGACACAGGCAGCACCAACTCGTACAGGATGGGGAAAGAAGGGAAGTATGACCTCAAGCTGGCAGAGCTGCCGGCCTCTGCGCAGCCCACAACAGAGGATTCAGACACAGAAGACGACTCCGGTGGGTGGCTCATGAAGCTTGTCAGATTGTCCAAGTCCTGGCTCTCCCATTTCCATCTAGGAAGTTAAAATGGTGTGTCAACTCGTGTGCTATCAGTGCTCTGTGGATTTGGGGTTTGCTCTTTAAGCCTGCATTGAAATAAGCTCCCAGGTGACTCTGGTGCCCATGACCATGTGGCTCTGGATCCAGCGGCCAAGGGGAACTGCCCTCCGCATCCTCCCCTCACTCCCTGTCTCACTCCCCCTTGACAGTGTGACGGTTAGGGTAGGGCACAACCTCACGTCCAGTGAGTCTTATGGGGTGGTCGAGCCTGAGTCCAAGGGATTGAGTTGGGCCTGGTTGGTCCATTTGCCCCATTCCCCACCAGCTGGGAGCCCACCACCTGCCTCCCTCCTGTACCTTCCCTGTCGCCCTTGCATCAGAACACTTCACGCAACGTGGAGTTAGTCTCTACTTTATTGCTTCCAGGAAAGCAGGGGCGAGAATATGGGGGTGGACCCAGAAAGATCCTATCTAGGATTCTATCTAAGGATATCCAAGCTTTGGGGGAAAGGCTTTATGACATTTTTTTAGATGTATCCAAAGGACCCTGGGGCACGTGAAGGAAGCCTTGACTGGCTAGTCTTGGTGAGAGCATCTGAGAGGCTGGTGCTGTCACGGGGCTCGGGCCGGCCATGTGTGCAGCACCAATCAGGCTTCAGAAGCAGTGGTGACAGTGAACAGATGAGACCTCCGAGGGTGCACCCAGCAGACAGCAGGCAGGGTAGGGTGGAGGAGGCTATGCCATGCAGCAAGTGGGATGACCAAAGGTGATATCTGCCCTGTGCACCTGCTGGCAGTGATGCTCGTGGAGCCCCCATCCCCCATGATGGGAACTGGCCGTGTTGCGAGTGCATCTGCCTACAGCATGCAGCTCCTGACCAGCTGCTGCCTCCTTTCTCTACCCACCTCACCAAGTGAGAAGCAGACAGGCTTGACCCTCTGCCTGGGGACTTTCCTTACAAAGGAGTCCAAGCCTAGACAGGGGTGGCCACATGCAAGAAGGTGGCCTCTGCCACCACATGCTTTCTTGTCTCAGAGCTAGTCAGGCTGGACGTATGAACATCGATTCTCCCCACTCCATGGGTGTAGGTGCTTTGTCCTCATGCAAGTCGTAGCTAGCTTGTGAGAAACCAGCTTTTGACATTTGATAAGTTGCCTTTCTAAAGAAGTGAATCCTTGGAATCATTTCAGCACTTCTGAGTTGTATGCTGAGGTTGAAAAAAAATTAACTTATTTAAAAGGCTCATTTTCTTTGAGGAATGTTGGAACAGAAATAATCAGGGTGAGCATATAGTATATCCCCAGTTCTATCATTTCTTCTTGTAAAGGTTGGCTTCCCTTTCCAAAGTTAAAAAAGAATGCAAAATCTCTGTACCTTTCTCTTGATTTTACTGTGAACTTAACTGCTCTAAAAATTAAAGTCTTTAAAGATAAAAAACAGAATGTGATATTAAGTTTCTTAAATTACATGTAAGGCCATCTTCCAATTTTGTTTGGGAGCATCATTTCTTATTTTGATTATTTTTTTCAGAAACTGAACAAATTGAAAGGAACATTCACCCCACCGCAATGATGCTTACCAGCACCATTAACTTACTGCTGACTCTTTGTCTCTCTGCTGGAATTCATGCGGAAATCATGCAGAGCGAAGCCACCAGGACTCTTTGTGGACTGCTGCGAATGCTAGTGGAAAGTGGGACAACAGACAAGACATGTATGGAACGGATAATTATAGGCCCAGAGAGTCAGTATGGGGGCTCTGTAAATTTGTCGTGTTTGTGTGTATGTGGGTGATTGTGGGTGTATTAGTTTCTTGTGGCTGCTGTAACAAGGTGCCACAAACTGGGTGGCATAAGAACACAAGTTTATTATCTCACAGTTGTGGAGGCTGGAAATCTGAGATCAAGGTGTCTGTAGTGTTTGTTCCTTCTGAGGGCTGTGGGGAGAACCTGTTCGAGGCCTCTCTCCAGCTTCTGGTCCTTTGTTGGTGATCTTTGGCATTTCTTGGCTTGATGAAGCATCACCCTAGTCTCTGCCTTCATGGTCACATGGCAGTTTCCCTGCATCTATTTCACACTTTCCCCTTTTTATAAGGACACCCATTAGCCTCATCTGAATTAATTAAATCTGTCATGATCCTAAACCATGTCACATTTCAAGTTAATAGAGGTGAAGGCTTCAACATTCGAATTTTGGGGGGATAGTATTCAACCCATAACATTGACTTAACACAACAAATTTATTCTCAGATTTCTGGAGACCAGAAGTCTCAAGTCAGGATGTCAGCAGGGCTGTGCTCTCTCTGTAGGCTCTAGGGGAGTGTCCTTCCTCACCTTGTCTGGCTTCTGTTGGCTTCAAGCTTCCTTGCCTTGTGGCAGCCTCAGTCCACTCTCTCTTCTTCTGTTTTCACATGGCTTCCTCCTCTCTGGGTCTCTGTATGTCTTTTTTGTCTCTTATGGGACATTGTTGTACATAGGGTTCACCCTAATCCAGTGTAATGTCATCTCAATCCTGACCTTAATGGCATCTGCAGAGACCTTATTTTCAAATAAGATCATATTCTTTTTTTTTTTTTAAAGATGACCGATAAGGGGATCTTAACCCTTGACTTGGTGTTGTCAGCACCATGCTCTCCTAAGTGAGCTAACCAGTCATCCCTATATAGGGATCCAAACCTGTGGCCTTGGTGTTATCAGCACCACACTCTCCCAAGTGAGCCATGGGTCAGCCCTAAGATCATATTCTGATATTTTGAGTGAATGTGAATTTTGGGGCAGGGGTACAATTCGACCCATTAAGTGAGAGTATGTAAATGTGAGTGAGTGTAAATGTGGGGAGTATGGGTTGAGGAAGTGGGGCCAGTGTGTGTGTGTTAGTGTTTGTGAGTGTGTGACTTGAGTGTGTGCATACGTGTGCATGTGGGTGTGTGAATGTTTCAGAGTACATTTGTGAGTGTGTGTGTGTCACTGCTGTGTGTGGTGAGTGCTTAAGTGTCTATGTATTGATGTTCATGTTAGTGAGTGATGGGTGAGTGGGTGAGCATTTCTAAAATCATGAAGGTGTGTGTTTGAGAGCGTGTCAGTGTGATTGTGCAGATATGCATGTGTGAGTGTGTGTGTCCATGAGTGTGTACAGGTGTGGGTGGATGACTCCACATTGGTGAAGTCTTAGTGAGAACTTGTGTGTGTATGGGTCAGCATGTGTCAGTGTGATTGTGAGTGTAGTCTGAGTGAGGGTTATCATTGTGAGGTATGTCTGAGTGTACAGGAATGATTGTGTGTGTGCCAGTAAGTTACTAGGTGAGTGAACGGGAGACTAAGTGTGAGTCAGTGGGCATGTTTGAGGCTCAGGGCATGTGTGTGTGAGGGAGTGCGTGAGTGTAGGGGAGAGGCGTGAGTGTGAGTGCGTAAGGGTGTGCTTGTGAGAGTAATGGGTGCATGAGTGAGTGTGTGCACACATTTGCATTGTGTGTATGAGTGACTTGTGTCATTGTATCGGAGTGTGTGGGTGTGCCTGTCAGCATTTTGAGTGTGTCAGTGAGTGGGAGGTTGTGTGAGAGTATGGGTGTGTGTAATGGTGTGAACGAGCATATCTGAGTGTGTGTGTGTGTGTGTGTGTGTGTGGAGTGGGTGAGTGTGAGCTTGTATCTTAGGTCGTGTGTGAATGTGTGTGACTGGCTGGATTGTGTGATTGTGAGTATCTGTTATTGTGACAGTGGTGTTGTGTCCGTAGGAGTGTGAGGGTGAGTGTGTATGTGACTGTGGAGAGTGTTAGTGTTGGTGAGTGTGAGTTAGTGGGTGTCAGCGTGAGCGAGTGTGAGTGTGTCTTGTGTCTAGTGTAAGCTTGGTGAGCTGGAGGGCAGGGCCCTACTGGCAGGAGGAGGAGGAGGCCCTGGGGGGTGGGTCCAGGAGGAGCAGATATGGTCCCAATCCTGCCAGGACCAAATTGTGCAAACCTAGCAAAAATCTCTCATTCTCATTCTGTTAATGCAGTCTTCTTAAACTTGGGTTGGAAATTTATGTTGCAAGTTAGATATAAACAAAATCATGGGGATAAATAGATGCACTGTCACAGATTGCTGCGATTTGAATTCTAGATCATTTTTCTGTTGTCTAGAACAAATAGTAAGTAGGTGAAATTCATTAAGTAGTTTGAGTTACTAGGTGTACTTTCAAGGTTTTTAAAATGCTGTGAAATGCTTCTTGAGCTAATTTAAAAGTCTTCTCCCAGCTGGTCTCACTTTAAAGTAGTCAAATTGTAATACATTTGTAAAGTAGCTTATTGTCGAAAATAAAGGAGTAAGCTAATTAAAAAATAAGAGTTGCACTTCTGATTTAATTTAGAGATTTGGTGCCAAGCACGTTTGTTTTCCCTCCCACAGTGTCTCCAAACAGGCTGGTGTGCAGGGAGCAGCACCGCAGCTGGTGCACGCTCGGGTTCGTGCGCAGCATCGCACTCACCCCGCAGGTGTGCAGCGCTCTCAGCGCCCCGCAGTGGATCACTCTGCTCATGAAAATCGTGGAAGGGCATGCGCCCTTCACTGCGGACTCACTGCAGAGGCAGGTAATGTGCTACGGGAAAAACCCAGCCTACTAAGAACAGCACTCCCTGTACTCAAAATCTGGTGCCTCTCTTCAGTCCTGGGTGCAGAAAAGAGCTAGAAGTGAGGTAGATTTTCTGGAGGCAGGGGCTGATGTTCTTGATTATTTTGAATTGGGTTAAGTTGCTAAACTTCAGTGATAGATCCTGTAGCCACTCTCTTCAGTTCCATGTAGTGTAATTGTCTTGAGAAGAATTAAACTAAAAAGAACTGGTTTTTTCATTAAATAAACAAATACATGCATCTATAATGTAGCTTATTCTTTTAACTCTTGATAACTGTTCTCATTGACGAATGGGCTAATTATCTGGTTGTAAAATAATGAATATCAAAATTTTCACATGGTTAGTTGCGTTATAGAAACAAAAATAAAGAGAAAATAAAACCTGTAAACTCTTCATCTGTCAGATAGTGGTTTTCTTTAAAGCTTGTTATTTTAAATTGTCAGATCTTAGCTGTGCATTTGTTGCAAGCAGTACTTCCATCGTGGGACAAAACCGAAAGGGCGAGGGACATGAAGTGCCTTGTGGAAAAGCTGTTTGGCTTCCTGGGCAGTTTGCTCACTACTTGTTCTTCTGACCTCCCGCTACTCAGAGGTGGGCAGCTCTCCCCTGACGTGTATCCTGGTTAGGAAGCACGAGCTGTAGCTTCTATCTCTCCTTCCTCCTCAGAGTCCATGCTGCGGAGGCGGAGGGCCCGCCCACAGGCCTCCCTGACTGCCACTCACAGCAGCACTCTGGCAGAGGAGGTGGTGGCACTGCTCCGCACACTGCACTCCCTGACCCAGTGGAACGGACTCATAAACAAGTACATCAACTCCCAGCTCCGCTCCATCACCCACAGCTGCATGGGAAAGCCATCAGAAGGGGTGGGTTCCACATCTTCAGATAAGCTGTTTTCCTCTGTGGGATGTTAATTCAACTTTTAAATTATCTTATTTTGTTCAAAGATATAATAATTTGTTTAATGGAAATAATTATTGCAGAAAGTAATATGAAAATCAAGTCCGTTAAATTATAAATTTGTAAGAAATGGCAAGCACCCTGGCTTCCTTGTCAAGCTTGCTGTCTGCCCTCTGCGCTAGGCCCTACTGGAGGACTACTTCCCTGACTCTGAGAACCCCGAAGTAGGGGGCCTCATGGCAGTGCTCGCTGTGATCGGAGGGATTGATGGTCGCCTGCGCCTTGGGGGCCAAGTCATACACGAGGAGTTTGGAGAAGGCACTGTGACTCGCATCACCCCCAAGGGCAGAATCACTGTGCAGTTCGCTGACATGCGGACCTGTCGGGTTTGCCCCTTGAATCAACTGAAACCAGTAGGTGAACTTGTGCTCGATTACCGCATAATAAGATAAATAGGTTTGATACTAGAGCTAGGTGCTAATGTTAGAACTTGAAAGAACTTGATTTTCATACTTCATGTTTGCCTTCTCTGACATTGTGTGACGTATGGAGAGCACCTCCTTTTCTTTCCGTGCTAGTTTGTGCTCCTGTGATGAGCAGGGTCTGTCTCGCAGGGTGTAGTGGCTTGTGTGTCATCTTTTAACCTCAAAGACACAAAAGAGCATTAGCACTAAAAGTTACTGGGCACTAAAAAGTAAACGTTTGAAAATAATTAAAACGTGTATTTATAAAGCTTATTTTTTATTACCTTTTTTAAAAACTTAAAAGGGAGTCCTTTTAAAAATAACTTTTCTTCATGTAGAAATTGCTTATTAACTGTGTTGAGTGATGTAACTTATAAAGCAATTGCTGTCCTCTTAAACCTGTGAATCAGGGACGCATAGGGAGAATGAGTGATGTACATTATTTTGATGTAACCCAGGTGCAATCTGACTATACCTTTCTATGAAATACTGGCTTTGATTATTATAGGACTATATACGTGTTGTACAAAACTTGAAATGTAGAGAAAATACCTCAGAAGATAGTAACCACTATTTGATATAATTATTGTTGACAGGTTGGCCGAGAAAAAGTAATATGGATTATATTTATTATATATATGTCTTTATGTTACCTTTAATATTACCTTTTAAAACTGTTACTCTCAGATGTAGAAAGAATTATGGGTATGTGTGGTATTTCAGAATTAAGACTCATGCTTATACAAACTTTCAGAATATTTCATTTATTAATCTTATTGGCCATACTTTGAAGGTTTTTGTGCTATCTCTTTAGGTCCCTGCTGTGGCATTTAGTGTGACTAACCTGCCCTTCACAGAGCCCATGCTCTCTGTCTGGGCTCAGTTGGTGAACCTTGCTGGAAGCAAATTGGAAAAGCACAAAATAAAGAAATCACCTAAACAGGCCTTTGCAGGTCAGTACGTGGTGCTTCTTGATGAAACAGCTATTATCTTAAGAAGTGTTGTTGGACAGTGTCCTTTTCTCAGAGTGAGCTCATATGACTACCGAAGTCCCGTGTTTCACATGGACTTAACCATTTGTTGAGTTGGCTGGGAAGGTGAGTCAGCCTTTGACGCCAGATTTGGAGCCACACCTAACGCCTTGCCTTTTCCTGGTGCCGGTGCTTATTCTGAGCAAGCTTTCTGAAGAGCAGTCTGTTCTCTTCTTCTCCATTAGTGCTCCAGCCTGTGGCCCTTGGCTCTTTTGGCGCTCTGCTCATGGACTCATCACCGCCAGATCCAGGGCGCCTTTGTATTTGGATCCACTTTCTTCTCGGTACATAGTGGGCTAAAACTGCAGCCACTCTTGCTTAAACTCTTCTTTCCTATAGGTCTAGATCCTGCTCTTGTGATTTTCCTGACATTGTCCCTCATGTGTTCTTAGAGAGTTCTTCTCCTTTCCTGTTCCTGACCTTCTGAAAGGCCTTGTGGTTTCACTTCTGACTTCTGGCTTATTCTGCCCACCATTCTTGAGTTTTCTCACCCATTCTTTTCCCATACCTGCGATTGCTGCTCCAGTGTTTATGATGGTAACCACCTTCTACTCTGAGTCTCCAGTTCATATCTCTGACTGGAGGTCCAGTGCATGTAGTTCAGAGCATGTCCAAAATTCAGCCAGCCTTCTCCATTAGGCACTGTTCCTTGTCATGGTCAATAAACTTGTCTGCCAGTTGGCCCAGCTCAGTGCCTGAGAGGCACTGGTGGCCCCCTGTCCATCACACCTCATGTTCCTCATGCTCCTCATGCTGAGTCCGTAGTCTTCAGCCACATCTTGCTTTGGAACACTGCTGCCACACCACATCATAGTGGCAGTGGCTTTCTTAGTGTGCTCTTCAGTTGGCTTGTGGCATTGCTGCATTTCATTGGATTATATCAGACTCTACTGGATCAGTCATGGTCTTCATCAGTTAAAGAAGTAGTTATATGTGACAAAACTTTCTCAGAGGAGTCTTGTAAGAAAAGGTGAAAGTATTTTGTGGCCTAGGTACCTGGTTGAAATTTCAGCAATTTGGGAAATATTTGATTATACTAACAATAAATGATAGCTAACACGGTTCTAACCTAACTCCAGCCCGTTGAGGTAGGTGCCAGGAGACCAGGGAGGGAGGCAGACCAGGGGAGTAAGAGGATGTTCACGCAGAGCACCAAGCATGATACTGGGAGAGACAAGCTCTTCATGACTGATAGTGTTTGCATATGGTCAGTACATGCCCAGCAGGGCATTATTTATCTCCATGTTGCAAAGGTGACACTGCTGGTGAGAGGAGAGGCCGAGTGGGCAAGCAGTTTTCATGGAGCTCTTTCTTCTTCTGCAGGGCAAGTGGACCTGGAGCTGCTGCGGAGCCAGCAGGTGAAGCTGTACATACTGAAGGCAGGGCGGGCATTGCTTTCCCACCAAGATAAGCTGAGGCAGATCTTGTCTCAGCCAGCTGTTCAGGAGACTGGAGCTGTTCATGCAGGTATCTTCTTAAAGAAAGTTCTTAAAGATTTGAAACAAAGGCAGATACTCTAGTAGAAAAATAGGCAAAGGACATGAATAAGCAGTTTATAAAAGGGGAAATATAGACGCTTAACATGTATAAGAAAGATGTGTGACCTGACCAGTGATCAACTGGAAAGAAGTTGTCATCATCTTATAAGTCAGACCATACTTGAGAAATCTGGTAGGTGGGCAGGGAAACAGTATTCTCACACCTCACTCTTTAAACTGTGGTCCGTGGACCAGCAGCACTGACGGCACATAGGAACGGGTGAGAAATGCAGATGCCCAGGCCAACCCAGGCTGAAGAATCAGAACCTGCATTCTATCAAGATCCTAAGGTGGTTCTTCACATGCTCAGAAAGCAGCACTCCTTTAACACATTCTGGTGGGAATTTGAGTTGGCACAACTGTCTAGTGGGCATTTGAGGAAACGTGTCAGACTTTAAAATGCATATATATGTATCTTTATGTACATTCACCTAGCAAGTCATCTTGGGGGAATTTCTCAAACAGAAAGGAAGGCCTGAAGATTATGTGTTTACTGACCATTGTGGCTTCTTTTTTGGTCTTGTTTTTATGTTGAAAAATTGGAGACACCAAAATGCGCATTAATTACGTAGTATATTTATGCAGTGGAATACCATGATGCCATTCAGAGGATGATACAGATATATGTTTATTGACAGGAGAACATGAAAATGATGCATAAGTAAACAAAAGAGCATGTTACTATGTACTTCTGTTTGTAGATATGTCATTGATTTCTCTGTTTAGCAAAATGGTGACAGTGATCTTTGAATGGTGGAATTTTGGCTGATTTTCTTTATAATTTTCTATATTGCTTCAGCTTGTCTCACTTTTTTTTTTTTTTTTTTTTTTTTTTTTTTTGGGCAGCTGGCCAGTATGGGGTTGTATCACTTTTAATGAAAAAAACTAAAGCTATGTTTGGGGGATGGGGGGTGAGGTCAGCTGACCAGTATGGGGATCTGAATGTGAAATATTTTTTGATTGTCCACTACAGAAAGATACTGTGGTAAATATATCATGGGGGAAAAAGGTAGTCCTTGTTTGTGATCCTTACTCACTAGGATGGGAAGGGGAAAGAAAGTCAACACAGATGGCTCTGTTTAAGGTACGGAGCCAGTGCACTGTGAGACTTGTGAGGAGTTCCGTAGGCATTCAGGGTGAAGTGGCAGCTGAGGGTTGGGCAGGCAGCCTTTGAAGGATGTGGCAGACAGGTGCCAGGTGACCAGGAATCTCCGAGTTGGTGGAAGGACAGAGGAGCACAAATGAAAGCAGCAGGTTATTGGGAGAGTATTGAGCTCTGCTTTGCTTGGAGCTCAGGGTTTATCAGTGAATGGTGGGGCTAAAGCCAAAAGGTCGGTTGAAGTCCTGTCACGGAGTACCTGACTACCAGGCCAAGTTAGAAAGCCGTGGCAGGGGAGCACATGGTAAGGACTGATATTTGGGGTCGTAAAGCTAGTGAGGCACAGGAGTATTGAAAACCAAAGATCATGGAGATGGAGAATTGTTCTTATGTCAAGTGACAAGGTGTTTTCTAGGGGAAGGCAAGAGAAATGGAAAGAAGGTTCCAGTGGACACTGGTGGAGTGGTCTTTTAGATGTAACTTTTTGGGAAACCAGCAAAAAGTCAAAGATGGCTGATGTCTCAAGCTTGGGTTGTAGGGAGAACAGTGAGTCTGAACAATTAGAAAGTACATTGGAAAGTGGAGTGTTTGGGTTTGTTTCTTAAGAGGAGAGGATATTGGTAAATTAATCTGAAAACTGCTGAGCATGAGACTGATCAGAAGTGTAGATTCATTCAGCATTAGAAATGATAGGAACCTTGAAAACAATTGTAAGAATTAGGAAACTGGAGCCTGGACTTGGGCTGGCTGTTCTGCAGCCACCCCTGGAGCAGTTGTGGCATGGCTGAGTCAGGGTTATTAACCCTGCTGTGGGCAGAGCAGAGGCTCCAGATGGAGCTATCTAGAGCAGAGATTGGCAAACTGCCACGGCACCTGTTCTGTGGGAACAGGTGCACCTGCTTGTTTACTTGCCATCTCTGCTTGCACTCTGTAGTCGCAGGGTTGAATAGTGGTCACAGAAACATGGTCGGGAAGCCTGCACTATTTACTCTCTGCCACTTTAAGAGAAGGATTTCTAGCCTCTGGTCTGGGTTCCTTGAAGTTGTCACCAAACAAAACCAGTACATGCAAATGCTGCTAGGGTCTGAACGAGTGAGTACTGGAGTTGTGTGAAGTGGCCTCAGGGTGATGGCTGTTTGTGGGCCTGGACAAATGGTCCTAAAGGCCTCACCTACGGCCACTCAAAACAGAAAAAAAGACACTACCCTGATCCCATGACACATTGGGATTGTGTGTCTCTTAATGATCTTAACAAGGCTTAGTAGGAAAAGCCAGGACTGAAAATACAAACTTGGGATGTGTTCATAGTGGAGGCTCCTGAACAAGTGAGTGCACAAGGTAGAAAATGTATAAGAATTGGACCAAGGGCAGGAATCTGGGAAGCAGCTTTTGTTGGCTCTTGTAGACAGAGGAACTAATGAAGGACACAGACCAAGAAGCAGGGAATGGAAACTTCTTTAGCGTCTAGTGTTTGTTTGATATCCGAGCCTTGAACATTTTGGTTGTGTGTTGCTCAATGAAGCAGAAATCATACCTGGTTGCTCAGTGCATTCTCTTTTGTTAACAAAGAGGTGTTTGCAGTTGGAAGTAGAATGTTGTACATATTTTGTTTTCAAATTCAGACGATGGAGCAGCTGCATCTCCTGACCTTGGTGACATGTCTCCTGAAGGGCCGCAGCCCCCAATGATCCTCTTGCAGCAGTTACTGGCCTCTGCCACCCAACCATCTCCTGTGAAGGCTATATTTGATAAACAGGAGCTTGAGGTACAGTTGTGCAACCTTCACAGTTTTTAATTCAGTGTACTAAATTGTGAACAACTTTCTAGATGTGTATATATATATATATTTTTTGTCCTTTTTTGAGACCGGCTGCACCGCGCTCAGCCAGTGAGTGCTGTGAGCGCACCGGTCATCCCTATATAGGATCCGAACCCGCGGTGGGAGCACTGCTGCGCTCCCAGCGCCGCACTCTCCCGAGTGCGCCACGGGCTCGGCCCTAGATGTATATTTTCTTAAGGATACATTCTGAATTTTAAATGATAATACCCACATAATTCTTAATTAGGCTATAGCCATGCTTGTGCATGGTCAGCAGAACATTGTAACACTAATTAAAGAACGGGAGAATTGAAGTTTAACTTTATTTTGGGTTTGTCTAAATTGTTTGAAAAAATTAGGTAGGTACAGCATGGGTTAAATGCTCTTATTCATGGAAGGGTCTTTATTTTTTTTTGGAGAGACTGGTTCTATATCTCAAAAAGACATTTGTTGGTATTCAATATCAAAATAGTTGCACTATCGGTTTTTCTTTCTTCAATCGGCTCTAAAATGACCACACCAAAGGAGAGTACATTTTAAGCTAGTAAGCTGTAGGATGTACACCTACCACACATCACAGAAACCTCATCAAAAAGTGGGGAGTAGGTGGAGAATGAAACTTTCAAAGATCCGCACACTGCCAGACCACAGACTGAAGAGAACTCTCATAGCCAGATGGTGTGGCCAGGCTACCACAACCCCAAAGAGGCATACTTTCAAAATAATATAAAACATAAAAAGTTTTGTATATAAGTCATTCAAGATTTCCATGGAGGGATCTTTTTCCAGGAAATACTGTTATTGGAAGAGACCCGTTAGACCCAGGAATAGTGCACATTCTTGCTTGTTTCATTCACTCTGATGCCTCCCTCGGATGTGCTGTGTGGCTACCAGGCTCCTGGCCTCCTTAGTGGGAGGGTAGTGAGGCTGCTGCATGCTCCAGTTACAGGACAGTCCCGTAGGAGAGGCAGCATGTGACCAGGCCTGTGAGGGGCAGGGACTTTTATGGCTGGCAACACAGAGGACTAGACATTTTTACAATCCTTCTTGCTACATAATACATAAAAAATTCTGGATAAAACATCAAAGATGAAAACAAAACCTTCAGTGCTCAGTTTGGCAGGCAGGAATCACCCTAATAGACATCCTCAGAGAAAAACCCTGTGGAAGCAAGGATCCAGAGTGAGGCAGCGCCTGCTGGGGGCTTATGGGGGGGGAGGGTCCCCTCAGTCCCATCATGAGCTAGAAAGAGTGGGGTATGAAAGGAGAGAGCAAGAATCTGGGGTGACAGGTGGGGAGGGGCTGGGGCGGCAGTGTCTTCTCTGAACTATTCTGTTTCAGCCCTTTCTTAGTTCCAAAAAACCTCTGAGGTAAAAGTTTCCTTTCAAGTGGCTGCATGGTGACCCTGTTTCCAGTCTCCCTGGTAGAGATCAAAAGAGGACACTGAGCAGTTTCAGAGCATATTGGGCAGAGCACAGCCTGGCTTCACACCAGGAGGATGCTGAATGTTAGGACATAGAAGGAAGTCCAGAGTTGTCCTGCAGGAATTGGGAAGGGCTGTTGCACTAGAGAGTGACCTTCCATTGTTTTGTCTCCATCAATTATGATGGAAGTCAGCCATCATTCTTATCTTTGTTCTTCTGTAGGAATTGTTTTTTTTCCTCTAGCTACTTTTAATATTTTCTATTTTTTCTCTGAGTTTGTGCAGTTTGACCAAGATGTGCCTGTGTGTACATGTGCTTTTTTGTACTTCTTGGGGTTTGTTCGAGTTACTTGTATCTCTTATGTGATTTTTTTTTTCCTCCTACCTAAATTGGAAACTTTTTGACTATATAATTTTTTCCCTGTCTTGCTCTCTTTTTGTTCTTTTCTGAGACTATCATTACGCATCTGGTAGGCTGCTAGTGAGTTTTTGTATATTCATAATTGTTTTCTTTTTGTTGATCAGGCTGGTTAATTTGTATTGATCTATTTTCAAGGTCAGAATGCTTTGCTTTGTTAGGTCTAATTTGCTGTTAAGTCCATTGAAGAGATATTTTACATGTTTCAGATCTCATATTTCCATGTGGTTCTCGCTATATAGTTCTCTATCTCCTGACAGTTCCTCTCTCTTCACCCCTTATATCTATCTTTTACTGTATGTTAAAACATATTTCTGATAAGCATGTTAAAATTCTCATTCACTAATTCTAACATCTGGGTCCACTGTTGGTCTGCTGCTCTTGACACTTTCGTTCTTGATTGTAGTCAGTGATTGCTTGTTTTTCTTCACATCTAATAATTTTTATTGTATCCTGGATACTTGAATATTGCATTTTGTTAACTCTGGGTTCTGTCAGCTTCCTCTGGAGAATGTGGAATTTTCTTCTCACAGGTAGCTTAGTACCTGGCATTCCTTGATTCTGAGGAGGCTTGCTGCTAGGCTTTATTATGATGGTTAATTTTGGTTTTACCCTTTATCCTGGTTCCTGGTCCTTAATTCTAAGGGATTTAGAATCTTCTGGAGAGGTTTCAGTGGAAGCCTCAACATCTTGGGACATCTCCACCCATACACTCTTAGTTGGACTTAAACCTCGAATACTTGCCTGGCTTGGGCAGCTGTGGAAATCTCTCTAGCCTTTTGGCAGTCCCTTTATCAAGGCTGGGCTCTTCAAAGTCTCGTGCATGCTCCAGAGATTTGAGGATGGTCTATATATATATATGTTTTGTGGATTTTACCCTATGGTTTCTTCGGGGACTCCTTCCTCACTCTCTGGTTGCTTTGGCAGGCCCAAATACCAGCCGGTGACTGTAGTCCAGTAACACTGCCACTATCTGTGGTTAGATGTGCATCTTGCCTGTTGGCTTTCTTCTGTCTAGGGTTGTACCCTTCCAGTTCTGATTACTTTGGCTGTTCTCCAGTGCCCTCAAGCAGTTTTAAAAAAATATTCTGTCCAGAGTTTATAATTGTTGTCAGCAAAGGGTTAGTCTAGTATACCCTAACTCCCCTTTACCAGAACCAGAACTCTTAGCTCAATCTGGATCTGAATTACAAGCTTTTAAGATAAAACCTGTCACTTTCCAGTTACTCATACTTCACCACAAAATCCTAGGCTTTTGACACTTCTAAGCACTGGAAGTATTTAAGGTATCCCTGGTTTCTACCTAATTCCTTCCTCACAGACATTCTCATTTTAACAAAATAGCCATTCTTCAATGCCTGTGAGCAGCTGGGGAAGAGGAATGGAGAGTTGCCAGTAGATCAGCAAGGGCTGTGTGCTGTGGGGAGGGAGCTCCCAGCTGCAGACACCAGTGGGGTGTAGATCTCATTGATTCATTGCAGTATTACCCAACTAATTTTCTTTATTTCCCTCATTTTTTAATGCCATGTATAACTCCCAAGGTGGTTATTTTACCCTCGAATAGTTGAGAGTTGATTTGGTGGCATATGAGAGAGTTATGTGTTGTTTCTGGCCTGTGTTGCAGAGGGAAGAGCAGGTGCCTGTGGCCATCACTGCAGCATCCAGTTATGGTGGCCACACCTCTGTCCCTGTCCCTCTTGCTGCACTTGCTCAGTCAGAGCTTGGGGCAGCTGTGAAGCTTTCCTTAATGGACATTGGTACTCAGCTAATTTACTAGGCTCACTGTGTACTGAAGCAGTCAGGAGAGTCATTTGACCACCAGATATTTCCTCTGCATTGAACTCTGAAACATAGCTTTGTTGTTTTCTAACGTTTTGTCAGTTCATTTTAAGATGCGCATGTACATCGGGGCTTTCTGTTCTTCTGTACTGCAGTTGCTGGCCCGTCATCCCCATTTTTTTAGACTGTAGTTAGCTGAGGGCACCTTCAAAAACCTCCTAGTGCCCTCTCATCTGTGCAGGCTGCCGCCTTGGCCGTGTGCCAGTATCTGGCTGTGGAGTCCACCCACCCGTCAAGCATGGGGTTTGAAGACTGCAGCTCTAGCGAGGCTACCACACCTGTCATGGTGCAGCACATCTGCCCTGCCAGGGTGAAGAGGCGCAAGCAGTCTCCCACTCCCGCTCTGCCTGTTGTGGTGCAGCTCATGGAAATGGGATTTCCCAGGAGGAACATAGAATTCGCACTGAAGTCACTCATGGGTGCTTCAGGGAACACGTCTGGCTTGCCTGGTATTGCGTTTTCCTGTTGCTGTTTGTTTGTGGTTCTCACCACAGTGCTGTTGGTCCTCATGGTGGCCTGTGGTGTGCTGTGTGTACTTGCTCCTAGGTGTGGAGGCCTTGGTCGGGTGGCTGCTGGATCACTCTGATGTCCAGGTCACGGAGCTCTCGGATGCAGACACTGTGTCTGACGAGTGTTCAGATGAGGAGGTGGTGGAAGACGAGGACGGCGCAGCCTACCCTGTGGTCAGTGCCTTCTGTGGACTCGCCTGCTCCCTGGCCTGTGTCCCATCTGTCTTGTGATCTGGGTGTCTTGTATATTAGTTTTTTCTGACCCTTGAAAGGACTAACTGTAACTAGTGTCGACTGTTCCCTAACGTTTAGCTGCGCTTCTGCTGGACACAGAACAAAGCTGTGTGTTTTGCTACTAAGGCGATGATTGGGTTTTCTATGTCATAATTACTTTCAGCTTTAAAACAGACCCTTGTTCAAACATCTAATGATGGTGGGTAGCCATTAGAAGACACTTAATTAAAAAATCATGTTTTGTATAACACATTGATTTCTGACCTGTGTAAATTGCTTCATAGGATTAATTTGGGAATGCCTCAGAAATTTTCTGTACTTGTAGCTTTTGAGATTCGTTTCTGCCTGTGCTACTGCTTTTAGATTTTTATAGTGAAAATACAGTATTTCATTATTTATTTTTTAATTTTCACCAGCTTGTTTCTTTTTAAGTAGGCTTATCTGATTCTCCTTTTTTCCCCACCAAATGTATTTGTCTTTTGTAGTCTACTGGTGCTGTTGTGACGGAGAGTCAGACTTACAAAAAACGAGCTGATTTCCTGAGTAATGATGATTATGCTGTGTATGTGAGAGAGAATATTCAGGTGAGTAATTGTCTTAGGCTGGAGCCTTGATCATATTTTCATTCAGCAAATATTTGAGCATCTCTTGTGTGCCTGTAGTCATCACACTAAGAGGCCCTGTCCTCAGGGAGCCTGCATTCCTGTGGTGGGAGATAGTCAAGCCTAACCATTGAGCCCTGATGTATCAGAAGGTGATACATACTTTGGGAATGGGCCAGTGCAGACCACAGGAAAGGGAGCAGAAGGAGAGGGCATGCTGTTGGGACCGGTGGCTGCATGGAGTAGGTGCAGCACACATGAGGCGTGTATGGAGTGAAGGGTGGCCCAACAGGATGGCCAGCCAGCTGGGGGCCACTGTGGCTGTAGCAGAGTGACCAGAGGAGTAGGAGGTGGGAAGGGGACCAGAGCTGGACAGCAAAGATGGCCTGTCCACAGGGGACAGGGTGCAGAGATAGCATTTCTCCATTTTCCCCATTTATGACACTCTTGTACATTTTTGCTTGTTTTTCTTATATCATTGGCACAGCCATCTGATTTTTTTTACCTGGTTATGTCTTATGTAGTCCTTTAGCCACCTTAAATTCTCCCTTTTCTTGTTCTAATTCTCTTGTTTTAGTATATTTCAGAGAAAATCCCAGAAATCATCTCATTTCACCTGTAATGTCATTATATATCCCTAATAAAAGTAAAAGAAAATCCTAGTAAAGGATATCATTTTTAACATGATGTTACTGTTACCCAATATAATAGTAATTCCTTAATATGGTTTTATATCCAATGCTTGTTCAAATTTTCCCAATTTTCTGAAAAATGGCTTTTTATAGCTAGTTTTTTGAATTTGGATATAAACAAGATTATACACCTTACATTTGGGTGATGTGTCTCTGAAGTCTCTTAACTTGGAATAGTTCTCCCTTGTGTTAGTCAACTCAGGCTGCCACAATAAAAGACAGGCGAGTGGTTCAAACAACAGTAATTTATTTCTCACAGTTTTAGAGGCCAGAAGTCTGAGATCAATGTGCTGACGTGGCTGGTGTCTGGTGAGGGCCCGCTTCCTGGTGTGTAGACAGCTTCCTTCTTGCTCTGTCCTTATGTGGATGTAGGGGAAATGAGAGTGAGTAAGGGAACTCTGGTGTCTCTTCCTATGAGGACACTAATCTTCTTGGATTAGGGCTCCAGCCATATGACCACACTTTTAACCTAAGTTATTTCCTTATAGACCCCATCTCCTAATACAACCACATTGCAGGTTAGGGCTTCAGTGCATGAGTTTTGGAGGGGGGGGTACAACCATTCAATCCAGAACAACTCTCCCCTCCCCTCCCCTTTTTCTCTCTTCATATCATTTGTTTGTGGCTGAAACTGTGTCCTCCAAATGTCTTACATTCTGCATTTGGAGGTGGCTTCCTTGTGATGTGGGCTAACATCTTCCAGTGATCCCGTTTCTTCCGTAAAGTAGGAGTTAAGGTGGCAGGTGATTGGATCAGGCTGAGCCCCAGGTGGGAGTGCTTTATAGATGGCAGTGTGCTCGCTGCTGCCCCACATGTCAGGTGGGCTAGGTCTCACCAGTCTGCTCCTTCCACCATGATGCTGTCCGTTAGCTGTCATTTGTGGCTCCAGCAGCTGTGGTGTCATCACCTAGACCCATCAGTAGGGGCTGTACACTGTGATTTTCTAACTTTGTCACTCCTTCCAAATTTATTAGCTGGAGTTATGTTTTGTGAAAAAAACTTTATCAACCCTACTTACTTTTTATAATATAGTTTTTACAGGAAAGGCAGAATAAATGCTTATTTATTTTGGGGGGCTTTTTGACTTTTCAGAATGATGGCGTTGACACACTGGTGCTTATAAAGGTGACTAAGAAGTTTTGTTTTGCTTATTATCATGGTGAGGAATTCGTTGGCTTTTAGGGTTTGGTGTGCTCCAGCCATTGTTTCTCTTGATGGTCAGAGTGTTCTTCTGAGTGAGCCCAGCCATCTTTGATAGCTGCCTTGTTCACAGCACAAGCGGATGCCGGCTCATTTCAGAAATTTCCTGCCCTAGACGTAGAACTGGCCAGTTTTCTAAAGAGCTTTGGTTCCATTTAGTGTAAAATGTTATTTAGAGTGTTTTCTGGGTAATAACTAAATTTTTTTTTTCTTAAGAATAGTTCATTTCATGTATGTATGCCCGGCTGGATGTTTAATTTAATTTTAATTTTAGGTGGGAATGATGGTTAGATGTTGTCGAACATATGAAGAGGTGTGTGAAGGTGATGTGGGCAAAGTCATCAAACTGGACAGAGATGGGCTGCATGACCTCAACGTGCAGTGTGACTGGCAGCAGAAAGGAGGCACATACTGGGTCAGGTATATTCACGTGGAACTTATAGGTGAGCACAGTTTTTGCCAAGTTCTTTTGCTTTTTCTTAATTAGAGACATAGTTCCCACAAATAAATGGTAGTTATAGTACGTTTATTTTTGAACTCTTCAGGCTATCCTCCACCGAGTTCTTCTTCTCACATCAAGATTGGTGATAAAGTGCGGGTCAAGGCCTCCGTCACCACACCAAAATACAAATGGGGATCTGTGACTCATCAAAGTGTGGGGGTTGTGAAAGGTAATATTATCGACGCAACAAAATTCCAAATGTTAAGTCTTCATTAACTCATGTAAACTCAATATTTTTTCATTCAAGGGCAAGGAAAACTAGTGTGCAGAAAGCCTTATAATATATAAATAATCTTCTTTTGCTTGTCAGTACCTTCTGGCCAAAGGTCACAAAGGAATAAACCTGCTGTTGAACTGAGTTAGTTCATTAACTCATGGCAATGCAGGAGGACACATACCGTGGGGAACTGGGTGTCTATGTAAAAGGGTGTGAGCAAGGACTAATGGTTTTCTGTTGGATATATTGGGGAGGGCTCAATAAAGGGGGGTTAATTCTGAGACTGGGTATCTTAATAAATCTTAACATAAGGGCAGAAAGAATGGAGCCAAGTTAAGATTCGTAAGGAAGCAGTTATTCATTTTAGCCAGCATAGGGGGACATGTGGTCATGTTTGTGATTTGGATTAGATTTGACCCTCATCATACATGATTAAGGAGGAGTTTTGTTTGTGCCTTGATTCATCAGTCACAGAGTGGCCTTGTCTGATATTGGTGTTTTGTAAACCTGTTCTGCCAGTTGTTCTGCCAAATGGCCTAATGTGAGTGTCAGGCCAGTTCCTGACTGTCAGGGACTGCTTTTGCTTTTCTCTTTTGCATGCTACGTAAAAATTTAGGAATGAATTTAAGAACTGTAAATGTGCTAATGATGGGAGTTTGGAACTAGAAACACAAGATTCTCAGGTTATGTTTAATGTGACATTATCGAGATTCTAAATCCAATACATGGCACACTTTGAAAGGTGTATTATGACCATTCTAACAACTGCATGAGAAATAATTACATATGTTAATAGTATTATTTTATCTTTGAACTCTCTTGATGCCATAAAAAGATACCCCCCCCCCCCTCTTTTGAACCTTGTAGAAATCTCTCTTTGCATCAAATAGCTTAGATTAGAAAACAGCCACGATAGTGGTACTTCCCAGGTAGATGAGGGTGTTGTTAGAGCTTCTCAGGTCACATAAGAACAAATGACCTATTTAATATTTTATTTTAACATTTTTCTTTGCTTAACAGGTTTTTAAAAGATTTACAAATCAAAACAAAGATAAGTTTTAAAAACAAGAGTTTGATTTCTAAGTTATGTTTTGAGTGGTGGATTGGTTTTCTCAAAGGACAAGAGAGGTTGTAACATTAATAATGAGGTTTTCATTTCCTAATATATTGAAGGTACTAAATGGAATTTTGACTTAGTATAATTAAAACAAACAAAACTTCTTATTGAGGAAAATTTTAAACATATGCAGAAATAGAGAATAAAGTGTAATAAACCTCCATGTGCCCATTACCTGGCTTCAACAGTTTTCCACTCATGGCCAAAATTATTTCATCTGTAATATCCTCCCTTGATTACTTTAAAGCTAGTACCAGACATCATGTATCACTTCATCAATAAGTGTCTTAGTACATATCCCTAAAAGATAAGTACTCTTTGTAAAACATAAATAGCTACAATATACTATGTGGCTAGGTATGTTTTAATTTTACATTTTTATTAGTAATAAAGACGGTGTTTTAGGCAACTTCTGTTTTGTCCTAGCTTTCAGTGCCAATGGAAAAGATATTATCGTCGACTTTCCTCAGCAGTCTCACTGGACTGGGTTGTTATCAGAAATGGAGTTGGTGCCTAGTATTCATCCTGGTGTCACGTGAGTTTTTATTTTTATGATTGCTAGATTTGTTTTGGGAAGAATGGTGTTTTAGTTCGTTTTGTGTTGCTATAAGAGAAATACCTGAGACTGGGTAATTTTAAGAAAAAGAGGTATATTTGGCTTATGATTCTGGGACAGCTGCATCTGGCGTGGGCCTCAGGCTGCTTCTACTCATAGCAGAAAGTCGCAGGCAGCTGGCGGGTACAAACAGATCACATGGCAAGAGGAAGCAAGAGAGAGAGAGAAGGTGCCAGGGTCTTTTTAAGCAGCGAGCTCTCGCTGGACCTAATAGAGCGAGAACTCACTCATTAATCCATTCATGAGGGGTCGCCCCATGACTCAATCAGTTTCCAGCACTGCCACATTGGAGATCAAATTTCCACATGAATTTTGGAGGGGACAACACATCCAAACTCCATCAAATGGTTTTCTTTCAAATTAAGTTTAGTAAATGACCTCATCTTTTTCTTGTCCATTCAATGGCTCTTTTTAAAATAGGTGTGATGGCTGTCAAATATTTCCTATCAATGGATCCAGATTCAAATGCAGAAACTGTGATGACTTTGATTTTTGTGAAACGTGTTTCAAGACCAAAAAACACAACACCAGGCATACATTTGGCAGAATAAATGAACCAGGTTTGTTTGCTTGTATTTCCATAGAGAAACATTGGATCTTAAGAAACTAATAAGTGTTTAGTTGCGTGGAGTGTGGAATTGGTTAGATGGAGGGTCTTTTTATTCATATGCTTTTATTATATTTTTTAGCATGGCAAAATATATATAACATAAAATTTGCCATTTTAATCATTTAAGTTTACAACTTGGGTGTTAAATACGTTAAGTACCATGTTGCACAATCATCACTACTATCTATTTTCAGAACGTTTTCACCACTCCAAACAGAAACTGTGTACCCATGAAGTAATTTAACTTCATTTCTTCCTCCTCCATCCCTGGAAACCTCTACTCTACCTTTGGTCTCTATGAATTTGACTACTCCAAGTACCTCATCTAGGTGGAACCATACAATACTTATCTTTTTGTATGTTGCTTATTTCACTTTGCATAAGGTCTTTAAGGTGCATACATTTTGTAGCATGTGTCAGAATTTCATTCCTTTTAATGGCTGAATAACATTCCACTGTATGTATATACCATATTTTATTTATTCATTCATCTATTAATGGACATTTGGGTTGTTTCCACCTTTTGGCAATTGTGAATAATGTTGCTGTGAACATTGTTCTACCAGTATCTGTTGGAGTCTCTGTTTTCAAAACTGCTTGGTGTGTACTTAGGAGTGGAATTTCAGGGTCATATGATAGTTCTTTGTCTAACTTTTTGAGTAACTGCCAAAATGTTTTCAGTAGTGAAAGTACCATTTTATGTTCCACCAGCATGGTATGAGGGTTCCAATTTCTCTACATCCTCATCAACACTTGCTGTTTTCCATGTTTTGATTATGTCCATCCTAGTGGGTGAGAAATGGTATCTGCTTATGATTTTGATTTGAATTTCAGTAATGACAGATGACATTGAGCCTCTTATTGTGTGCTTTCTGGCCATTTGTGTAGTTTTTTTGGGAAAATGACTTTTCACATTCTTCACCAATTAAAAAATTTTCTATGTTCTCTATTCTGTTCTATTGGTCCAACTGTCTGTTTTTATGCTAGTACCATGCTGTTTTGGTTACTATGGCTTTGTAGTGTAGTTTGAAGTAGGTAGTGTCATGCCTCTAGCTTTATTTTTTTTGCTCAGGATCATCTTGGTGATTCAGGGTCTTTTGTTGTTTCTTATGAATGTTAGGATTGTTTTTTCTATTTATGTGAAGCATGTAATTGCTATTTTCATCAGGATTGCATTGAATCTGTAGGTTACTTTGAGTAGTATGGACATTTTCACAATGTTAATGCTGCCAATTCAAGAGTGTGGAATGTCTTTCTATCTTTTTGTGTCCTCTTTAATTTCTCTCAACAGTGATTTGTTGTTCTCATTGTAGAGATGTTTCACCTCCTGTGTTAAATTTACTCCTAGGTATTTTATTTTATTTTTTTTGATGACTATTGTAAATAGACTAGTTTCCTGATTTCTTTTTCTACTAGTTTGTTGTTGGAGTATAAAAACGCTACTGATTTTTGCATGTTGATTTTGTATCCTGCAACTTTACTGAAATCATCTACCAACTCTAAGAGGTTTTTTGTAGTCTTTAGGCTTTTCTATTTCATCTGCAAACAGATAGTTTGATTTTGTCTTTTCCAATCTGGATGCCCTTTATTTCTTTCTCTTGCCTGGTTGCTCTGGCTAGTATTTCCAATATTATGTTAAGTAGGAGTGGTGAGAGTGGAAATCCTTGTCTTGTTCCTGTTCTTAAGGAACACTGAGGATGATATTGGTAGTGGGTTTGTCATTTATGGCTTTTATTGTGTTGAGATACTTTCCTTCTGTATCTAATTTGCTGAGTCATGAAGGGATGTTGCATTTTATCAAATGCTTTTTCTGCATCTATTGAGATAATCATATGGTTTTTGTCTTTGATTTTGTTGATGTGGTGTATGACATTTATCAACTTGTGTATGTTGAACTATCCTTGCATTACTGGGATGACTCCCACTTCATCATGGTGTATAATTTCTTTGATGTTTTGCTGTATTCTGTTTGCTAATATTTTTTGAAGATGTTTGCATCTATGTTCATTAAAGATATCAGCCTATAGTTTTCTTTTTTTTGTTTTATCTTTGTATGATTTTTGTATCAGAGTGATGCTGGCCTCATAGGATGAGTTTGGGAGGATGCCCTCTCTTTCAGTTTTTTGGAAGTTTGAAGAATATTGGTATTTTTCTTTAAAGGTTAGTGGAATTCAGAAGTAAATCCATCTGGTCCTGGGCTCTTTTTTTGTCAGGAGACTGCTGATTACTGCTTCAATCTCATTGCCCATTGTTGGTCTATACAGATTTTCTGTTTCTTTCTTGGTTCAGTGTTGATAGTTTGTATGTCCAGAAATTTATCTATATCCTCCAGATTTTCAAATTTGTTGCTGTATAGTTGTTTATAATAGTGTCTAATGATTCTTTGAATTTCTGGGGTATTGGTTGTAATGTCTCCTTTTTCATTTATAATTTTTGTTATTTCTGTTTCTCTCTTTTCTAGTTAGCCTAGCTAATGGCTTGTCTGTGTTCTCAGAAAACCAACTTTTTGTTTCATTGATATTTAATATCATTTTTGGGGTCTCTTACATTTAGTTCTGCTCTGATCTTAATTATTTTTTTTTCTGTCTACTAATTTGGGCATGGATTGTTGTTGTTTTTCTAGTTTTTTCAGGTGTACCATTAGGTTATTTATTTGAAATCTTTTAATTCTTTTGATGTAAGCATTTACAGCAATAAACTTCTCTCTTAGCATTGCTTTTGCAGTACCCTACAGGTTTTTGGTATGTTGTGTCTTCATTTTCAATAGTTTCAAGAAATTTTTTGATTTCCTGTTTAATTTCTTTTTGGATCCATATGTTGTTCAGGAGCATGTTTGTTTTTTTTTTTTTTAAATCTTTTTGTCTTTTTCCGTGTCCGGCAACGGATCGCAACCCTCAGTGTTGCCCCCGTGGGATCCGAACCCTCGGACGGGAGCGCCGCCGCGCTTCCCAAGCGGCGCACTATCCAGTGCGCCACCGGGCCGGCCCCAGGAGCATGTTGTTTAATTTCCACATGTTTGTTTCATTTCCAGAGTTTTGCTTGTTGTTGATTTCTAGTTTTAATCCATTGTGGTCTGAAAAGATACTTAAAAGGATTTCAGTTTTTTGGGCCGGCCCGGTGGCGCACTGCTACAGTGTGCCGCTTGGGAGCATGGCGGCGCTCCCGCCGAGGGTTCGGATCCCACATACAGACCGGCCGCTCACTGGCTGAGCGAGGTGCAGGCGCAACACCGAGGGTTGCGATCCCGTTGCCGGTCCCGGTCCGGTACGGGCGCGACACTGAGGGTTGCGATCCATTGCCGGTCACGAAAAAAAGACAAAAAGGAAAAAAAAAATGATTTCAGTTTTTAAAAATTTCTTGAGGCTTGATTTGTGACCTAACATGTGATCTATCTGGGAGAATGTTCCATGTGCTCATGAGAAGACTGTACATTCTGTGGTTGTTGGATGAAATGTTTTGTAGATATCTGCCAGATACAGTTGGTCTAAAATGAGGCTTAAGTCCTATATTTCTCTTTTGATTTTTGTTGCCTACATGATCTGTCCAGTGCTGAACGAGGGGTGTTCAGGTCCTCAACTATTATCATTTTTGAGTCTATTTCTTTCTTTAGTTCTAATAGTGTTTGCTTTATGTATCTGGGTGCTATGATGTTGGGTGCATATATATTTATGATTGTTATGTCTTCTTGCTGGATAGACATATAGATTTATCATTATACAGTGGCCTTATTTATTTTTTATGGTTTTTGGTTTAAAGTCTATTTACTCAAAGAAAGAATAGCTACTCCTGCTTCTTTTTGATTTCCATTTGCATAGTATATCTTTTTTCCATCCCTTTACTCTTAGTCTGTGTGTGACTTAACCCAGAAGTCGACCCAAATACTTATATGCAACTGATCTTCAACAAAGGCACCAAGGACATACATTAGGGAAAAGATGGCCTCTTCAGTAAATGGTGCTGGGAAAACTGGACATCCATATGTAGAAGAATGAAACTAGACCAGTACCTCTTGCCATATACTAAAATCAATTCAAAATGGTTTAAAGACTTACCTAAACCTATAGAACTCCTGAAAGAAAACACAGGGGAAACACTTCAGGAAGTAGGACGGGGCAAAGAGTTTATTAATATAACCTCAAAAGCACAGGCAATAAAAGGAAAAATAAACAAATGGGATTATATCAAACTAAAAAGCTTCTGCACAGCAAAAGAAACAATTAATAGACAGAAAAGACAACCTGTGGAATGGGAGAAAATATTTGCAAACTATGCATCTGACAAAGGATTTGTAAACTGTGCATCTCATATATGTATATCCAGAATATATAAAGAACTCAAACAATTTAACAGTAAAAAAACAACATAATTAAAAAATGGGTAAAGGAGCTGTATTGGCATTTCTCTAAGGAAGATATACTAGTGGCCAATAGACACATGAAAAAATTCTCAGCATCAGGGAAATGCATATCAAAACCATGCTGAGATATCATCTCATTCCAGTTAGTCTAGCTATTATCAAAAAGACAGAATAATAAATGCTGGTGAGGATGCAGAAAAAGGGAAACCCTCCTGCACTGTTGGTGGGACTGTAAATTGGTGCAGGTCTTATGGAAACCAGTATGGAGGTTCCTCAAACAACTACAGATAGAACTGCCATATGATCCAGCAATTCCATTGCTGGGTATATACCCAAAGGAATGGAAATCATCATGTTGTAGGGATACCTGCACTCCCATCTTTACTGCAGCTCTTTTTTACAATAGCCAAGATATGGAACCAACCTAAATGTCCATCATTGGATGACTGGATAAGGAAAATGTGATACATTTACACAATGGAATACTATTCTGACATAAAAAAGAATCAAATTCTGCCATTCATAGCAATATGAATGAACTTAGAGAAAATCATGTTAAGTGAAGTAAGCCAGGCACAGAAGAAATACATGTCCTCCTCCTAAGTGGGAGCTAAAGAAATAAAAGGGAAAGAAAGAATGAAAG